CTGCCACTGCTGTCACACATCATGCACTTATACTGTTTCTCAATCTCGATCACACTAGGGATAAAGTCAGGCTCGGGTCCAGGACCAGGAACATGTTCAGGAGGGGGTACGGCTACAGCTAAGGATCTACTCCGAAGCTCACGAACATCAATACTCATAAACTTCTCCCCCGCTTCCTCAGACCGAAACAGCTCCAAGAAACGCCCATCAAGAAGAGCTAAAAGAAAAGGTCAGGACCCTCTCCAAGGACTCCTAGGGCCTCCACGTCGTCCCAGTACATCTTTACCCATGGATGAGCCTCAGGACCTAGACAACCATCTCCCCGAAACGAGTGCCATTTTCCAACAGTAGCGAAGAGCGCAGCAACGACTTGTTTGTGAAACTGCGGCCGACGTACCAGTTCCTGCACGAACCGTAGCCGCCGAATCCGAGCTTCCAGCTCGGGAGACACCAGCCGCCAGTAGGCCAGCACATCTGCATTAGAAAGAGAACGAGGATGGCGCTCAGCGTGTGGATCAAACGCATCACCACGCATAGCACGCCGAGCAAAGGATGCAATCTGATTCGTCAACCTCCGATATTATGTACCAGTAGGCACATACGCTTCAATCCCAGAAAGTCCTGCATTATAAACCTTGCTCATGAAAAGACAGCGTCTCAATCGATGCGGTATCCCAGGAAGTTGCCAGAAAATCCCCATGGAGTAAAAACCAGACTGCATTGCGTTACATCTTGCTTTTAGTTCGACAGCATATCGGTGAGGCTGAGCAGACATTTGGAAGCCTAGCGATTTTATAATCTGAGCAGCGCGCCCAGGGAAAGACAATGCACCTTCGCGCAGAAGTCGAAGTGCCTCAGAGGAGCCCCTCCCCACTAGACATACCAGCGTATCCTGCTTGCTAAGATTCTGCTTGTACCCATCCAGTAGGAGAGATTCGTCTAGATCGTCATTGCTACGTCGGCTAAGCTCGATAAGCTCCCGTAGACTAGTAAACCTCCCTCCCACCAACTTCTTAGTCAAATCATCCGCGTACTTAGTTAAGGACAGGTCCTGCATCGTGCCAGACACGGGGCAGCGGACATGCAAATAGCGAGAGTAGCGATCCCACTGGTGCTGGGCCTCACGCCAGCGCTCAACCGCAGGCGAGAACGTGTGCACGAACGAGCGAACGGCAAATCCGTCTCCCATGAGGCCCCCGCTGCTGGGTCGCAACGTCACCTGCTCATCAGAACCCCGAAGCTGAATCACTGCCCACCTATATCGTTGCTCCCCAAAGCCCAAGGAATCTGCCCAGAACATGCATGAAATTGCCGTTCGCATAGATTCCCAGCTGCTCGAGCTGAACGCGTTGGCGAGGTCATGCGCGTTCGTCACATGCGAGAGACTTTCGCG